CCACACTCATATGTGCACATGTGTGCATACCTGCTTCCTTGGTGATGGAGGGGCAAGAGGTGCTGTGGGCGAGGCTGCAGTGGGGGCCACTCTGGGGACAGGCACCCGGCAGGCAGCTGTGTGGTGGTTACACAAACAGGCAGGAGCCTCCAAGCACCCCCATGAGGCCTGGCTGCTTCTCTCTGAGTCTCAGTCTGCACATCTGTCCAGGGGGTGGCATGAGAGGCCGCTTCTCAGCGGTCAGCACTTCCCAGGACAGCCTGGAGGGGCAGGACAGAGCCTGGGCAGGAGGGCTCCAGGCGGGCGGCAGCTGTGGTACATGACTTCTCAGTGATGCAGGAGCTGGCAGCCGCATAGGCAGCTTGGGGAAGGCACCAGGCTTGCAGGGTCTGCAGGGTGGGGAGAGTACAGAGGAGCACCCAGGATTTAGCTGGGGGTGTGCTGAGCCCAATCCCCTCAGGAGTGACCTGTCTGGTAGCGCTGCCACCCACGGCCGCCTGGGACGCTTGTCCAGCCTTAGCCGGCTACCCTTGAGAAGATGCCAGCGCCCCCCCACCAGGGCCTATTAGGGGACTGCCTTCTCCTGGCAGCTGGGGAGGGAGTCCCAGGGGTGCACCCTGCCTCCCTCCCCTCCCCTGGCACTCCCAGACCACAGAGGCATCCTCTTTCTTTGCCCCATCAAAGCCGGAACCCAAGGGCCTCTTTGCCCAGCAACTAATCCACTGATTACCGGGTGCCTACCCGCCCTCGAGGGAGCTGTTGGGGGCTCCAGGTGCTCCTGACTGCCAAGTCCCGGAGGCACCATCGTCTCAGCAAGATGCTCCTGAGCTGCTAGGCTCTGTGCCAGGGCAGCAGGGCCAGGCTCCGGGGAATTCCGTTGGAGGGAAGGCGGGAAGAGCCTGCCCAGCCCAGCAGGTGCCTGGCCACTTGGCTCCCATGCCAGCCAGGGTTTGGCAGGGCCTTTGATGTGCAGATTCTTTTAATGTGCTTAGAATCTAGGAGTGGCCTGACTGCGAGCCCCGCTGCACACCCTCTGCCTGCATTGGCACAGCCTTTAGGGGGCACCTCCTCACTTCCGAGTGGGAAAAGACCCCAGCTTCAGCAGAGGGACTGGTTCCCTCCAACCTGCAAGGGGCTTCTGACAGCTGGAGTAGGGAGGAGGAACTGCCTTGCTGTGGACTCAGACAGCTGAGTGCTGGGACCAGGAGCTAGTGAAACCCCTGGGAGTCTCTGCCAGCCTCCAGCCAGTTTCAGATAAACTAATTTTTCTTTGGCCAAAGTATGTCTTAAGTATTGCATGGGATACACACAGACTAAAGCATCCTTCATTGTTTGCCTGCGATTCAGATTGAACAGGGACCCTGGATTTGCTAAATCGGGTGCGCAGACCCTGGCTGGGTTCAGGGAGCAGAAGGGTGACTTGAGCAGCCTCCGAGCTGCCCCGAGCCCTCGAGGCCTGTCCGGCCCTGCACTCCAGCTGGGGCTCTGCTTTGCAGTGGCAGCCAGGCAGGGACCACGCAGCACCAACTCCCGCCACTGCCATGTCCTGGACAGGCCTCCACGCCCAACCCCCACAGCAGACATGTGCTCTTCCTGGAACAAATGCGCGTCCCACCTTGGGCTCCAACCAAGATGCAACTCAAGGCTTGCTCCCTGCCACCCCAGGAAACACGGACTCAGCCCCTGCCCTGGAGGCAGGCTACAGTGCGGCAGGTCCCACCGGGCCAGACAGCCCGTCTCTGGCTTTCCCGACCTAGGGTCTCCACCAGCCTCAGGGCTGTGGCCAGAGCTCCACCACCTCCACCTCACGTTCCTGCTGCCTGCCCCTCCCCAGGGCGCACACAGCAGTCCCTGTGCCACCCATGCCTATGGAGGTACCCAGTTCTCTGAGGGGCCTCCCCAGCCCCTGTCTCCAAACACCCCACACTTCTTTCCTGCCTTGGGAGTGGGAACCCCCATCCCCACGGCACTTTGCTCACCTCCCCTGACACCCTCCTAGCTCCTGTGGGTTTCAGAGCCATCGACATACATCTGACCTCCTCGCTCTGCTCAAGAGCCTCCTCTGGCTCCCCAGTGACCTTTGGCTGGAAACTCAGCTGCTTCCACCACACCCAGGCCCTCTAGACCTGCACCAGCCCCTGCTCCCCACTCTGTATGCGCCCAGCCCTCCTGGCTCCCTGGGTCCTCTCTGTCTGTCCTGCAGTTCCTTCTGCCTGGATACCCTTCTCTGCCTTCCTGCCACCAGCTCCCCTGTCCTTCCTCCCTGCCTTGGGCCCTCTTTGTCTGTGCTCCCAAGGCCCTGGACAGCCCTCCATGGTCCCTCATCTGCAGCAGCCCCTGCTTCAGGGTTCCTTGGGGCTGGGACGGCACCTTGCCCATCACTGAGATGTGATGCCCAGCTCAGCCCCTGCATGCAGTGAGCACTCTCTACACAGTGCTCAGAGGGCCAGTTTGGGGTCTCCCAGCTCCCTGGGCTGCTACAGGGCAGGCACTCTGGGGCCTGCCCTGAGAGGGAGTTTCAGGCTCTTCTGGCCCCAGAGTCCATCGGGACCTGCTTCAACACAAGTGAGTGTCAGCAAGCAGTTGAGAAGCGGGGGCTCCACGAGAAGAACACCCAGGGCTGCAGGCATGTCTCCTGGGTCCTCCCCAGCAATGTGGGGAGAGCCGCACCATGCGTGTGCACGTGTGTGTCGATGTGGTCGTGCAGGCAGGCATGTGTGTGTGCCTGCAGGGCTGTGCTGTGTACAGGCATGTGTGTATATGTATATGCACATGTACACACACGCCCATACACATGTACACACACGTGCATGGCTGCATGTGTACATACGTGTGTAGGTGTGCATGTGTGGCTGTACATGTGTGCAGGTGTCTGTGAGGGTGTAGGTGTACATGTGTGCGGGTGTACATGTGTGCAGGTGTGCACTGTGTAGTTATATGTGTGGGGGTGTATATGTGTGTAGGTGTAGGTGTACATGTGTGGTGTGCATGTATGTGTACATGTATGCAGGTGTACGTGTGTGGGTTTACATGTGTGGGTGTACATGTGTGTGGGTGTGCATGTGTGGATGTACATGTATTAATACATGAGCAGGCCTGTGCATGCGCATCTGTGCATGTAAAACTGTAGGCACATGTGTTTGCATGTGTGTGTGCAAACACAGTGCACCTCCATGTGTGTGTGTGTGTATGCACCCAGGTGTGCAGGTATGGACCTATGCGTATGGGTATGTGCATGTGTGTGTGCAAGTGGGTGTGTGCAAGTGTGTGCGTGCGCGTGTGGGTGTGGGCCTGTGGTTGTGTGCAGGTGTGTGTGTGCATGTGGGTGTGTGCATGTGTGTGCATGCAAATGTGTGTATGCAGGGAGGTGCGTATGTGCATGTGGGTGTGTGTGTGCATACACAATGCACCTGTGTGTGCATGCATGTAGGTGTGCAGGTGTGGACCTGTGCATGCAGGTGTGTGTGTGCAGGTATGTGTGCACTTGGGTATGTGTGTGTGTGCGTGCATGTGGGTGGGTGCAGGTGTGTGCATGCATGTGTGTGCGTATGTGCATGTGTGTGTGTGGGTGTGTGTGTGCATGCAGGTGTGTGTGCGGGTGTGTGCTGGTATGTGTGCAGATGTGTACACACACGAGGGCTGCCCACTCCATTGGTTTCCTCAGCACAAGCCTGGGAGGAGCCCACGGTTTAACAGTCTGCAGGTTCCTGTTTCTTTTCTGCTGAGTCGTTGAAGCGGCCTGTGTGTAACACTAGCAGCACCTGCCCCGCTGTGAAGCGGCCACGGGGCAGATGATGCTGAAGGTCCCAGAGTCCCCTTGGTGGCCCTGGGCAGCTGTTTAACTGCAGATAGGAATAGTCACATCTCATGGAGCCATAGGAAGGGAGGGTGCGCGGACCCAGGAAAGCCTCAGCCCGCCCCTGGCCCCAGGAGGGTTCAGAGCTGCCCAGTGTCCCGGTGCCCTGCCCTTGCCGGGCAAGTCTTGGTCTCTAGCTTCAGCTCACCATGTACGCTCCTCTGGCCAGCTGCAGATCTGCTCTGGGACCTTGCCTGGCGCCCACGGAGCTGTGTCCTCATCTGTGGCGCCGTCCCCCGTGGTCCCGCCCCCCACAGCTTCCCTGCGTCGCGCTCCGGGCTCGGGAGGGCAATGGCGCCCCCTACTGGGTGTGGAGAATACGGGCTGATGCTGGGCCCAGAGCTTTCTCTTTCCTGCGAGATCTGAGCCTCCAGGCAGGTGCGGGACAGTCAGGGGGGCCAGAGGACACCTGGGCAGCCCCTCCTGAACAGACAAGCAAGGGAGGGGGCCTGACCTACCGCGGAGGGCAGGTCGCATCAGACCCTGGGGCTTCTGAGCCGGGCCTGGCCGGTGGGTTTGGGCGAATAGAAAACGTCCTGAGGTCGCTGTCACAGGAGGCGCTCCGAGCTGCCTCCCTCAGGCCAGGTGGAGCACGTGTTCCAGGCAGGAGGCACTCTGGACAGGGCGAGACAGGAGGACACAGCCCCAAGCTTGACCGGCTCTGTCCTCAGCCAGGACAGCCTGGGACGGCGCACAGGGACAGCCTCCCTGTGGGGACGCTGGGGTTGCACACTGTCCCCAGGGAGGTAGCCTGCCCCTCCCCGTGTGGCCCCAGCACCCTCATGTCCCACACTGTCCCCAGGTGTGGGTGACACCCCCCATGGGCACTGAGAAAGGAGAACTGTCCAGACCCCAGGCACAACTAGTGCCTGAAAAATATAGTGTTGTTGCTCAGCTGTTTCCTTTATATAATCCTGCATATATAATCATATATTAGTTTATAGAATAGTGCTTGAAGTGTAACTTACTGCTTACATATGTCTAGTTTATATAATCATACTTAATACCTATATCTAGCATACTTAGTTCCATATAATCTTTCTAAATGATCATATAGGTATTGTAGTCGGAGCTGTACTGACACATTTAGTGCTGATTTATAGAATCCTTCCATACAACCATATAGTAGTCTGTAGTAGGAGGAATGCCTAGAGCAGTCACAGAACAGAAGCAGTACATGGGAAAACAGCCAGACCAGGACAAGAACCAGAGACCCAGGCGGTGGCGTCCCTGCCTGAAAGGGCATACGCTGTACGGCAGGCTTGGAGCAGGAGCCTCTCCTCCTGATAAAGGAGTTGTAGCACCTTGCATCCAGTTCCTGTGGAAAGTTGGCCTCAGGCCTGACATCCTGGAAGTAACCGAGGGAGAAGAACCCCTCTGGTGTGACCAGTCACGGCGGTTGTACACCCTGTCAGTCTTTTCTCACTTCTGTGCCAGCTCAAATCATCCTCCCATAAACATCTTAAGAGAAGAGCACAAGTCAGTCAGCTCCCACTGCATTGGCTTATAATATCCTTCTATTAGAAACCCTTTGAAGTCTCCAGCCCCAGATAAGAAGTGTTGCGCACGACACCTGTTGCACACAGCCCACCTCCTTATCTCGGTGACCTAATGGGGGTGGACCCCTTTTCTGTACACGACCCTCTACTACTGCGCATGGCACGGACCCCTACTGCGCACGGCCCACCTCTCGGCCCAGGTGACATATGGGGTGGTCCCTTCACTTGTGACTCACGTGATTATGTATGCCCTATTACTAAGCCTATAGATGATGGCCTCACTCATGACCCTGCCCCCTACTTGTACCTAATAAATACAGATGCTTCTGGGCATTTGGGGGCCGCCGCTGATCTCCGCTCACAGGTGGCGAGCCCCCGAGTCCAGATGCTCTTCACCAGTTCTTCAGTGTCCTGTCTCTTTACCTCTCGGATCCTGCACCTCAACATGGCATAAGGGACATCCCACGACCCTGTGGGGCCTTCACAGCCCTACACCCAGGGAGGCTGCCTGTCCCCTCCCCATGCGGCCCCAGCAGCCTCATGGCCCACACTGTTCTCAGGGAGGGAACCTGTCCACTCCCCGTGCAGCCCCAGCACCCTCACGTTCCACACTGTCCCCAGGTGTGGGTAACACCCCCCCATGGGCACCGAGGAAGGAGAACTGTCCACCACCCTCATCCCAGGGGTGCAGCTGTAAGCTCCCTCTCCTCGGCCCCCGTGCACACAGGCTCCGCAGCTCGAGGCTGATGGCAGAGGTGCTGCAGTGCGCCTCCGTGTGCAGCCCCAGACCTGCTGCCTCTTGAGGGTGGTAAGTGGTTTGTGGAGGGACAGCAAGCACAGGAACCCAGAGACAGCTTCTGTCTACACAGCCAGGGGAAAGCCTCAGCCACACTGTAAGGCCAGGGAAGGCGTGGAAAAGAAAACTCGAGGGGTTTTGTGATGTTGCTTCAGTGACTGGGGCTGGGACTAGAGGGATCACGGTGGGCTTCCTGGAAGAGGTGGGATAGCAGGTGGTGCTCGTAGGATGCACAGCACTGGGGCCTGGAGTAGGGAAGGCATGAATGGCTGAGAAGCGAGTCACACAGATGGTGGCTGTGGGGGGGCGGTGGGTGCAGCTGGCACTAACTTTCAGGAAGGGAGCAGAGGCCAAGGAGGCTGCTGGCTGCAGTGCTGTGTCTGGCATCTGGAGTGCAATGGGCACACTTGGCAGGCCTGGGACAGCCAGGGAGAGTGCTGCTCACCCACACCCCTGCACCCGCTCACCCACACCCCTCCACCTCTCACCCACACCCCTGCATCCACCTGCCCACACCCCTCCACCCCCTCACCCACACCCCTGCACCCATTCACCCACACCCCCGCACCCACTCTCCTTTGGTCCTAGACATTAGGTGCTGCGGACTGGGAGGTCTTCCACATCGGGGAGAGGATCTTCCTCGCCGTGGCCAACAGTCACAGCTATGATGTGGAGATGCAAGTCCAGAATGAGTCCTACGTCATCAACTCTGTCATCTACGAGCTGAATGTGACCGCACAGGCCTTTGTCAAGTTCCAGGACATTCTCACCTGCAGGTGCGTGCCGCGGCAGACTAGGGGAGGGTGAGCTGATCTCTGGGATGCCCATCGTGTTGGAATCCCCGTTAGTTCTTCCTCACCATCCTTCCCATGCAAGGACTGGCCTGGGAAAGTCAGTGCCCCCTTGAGGTCTTGGTTCCCAGAGCTCCGCAGGCTCATACCCGTCGCCTCCTTTCATCCGGGCGGTGGAGGGGGAGGGGGCTTCATGCCTGTCATGAGGAGGGGCAGCTGAGGCCTCACAGGGGCAGGTTTGAGGTGCAGGCGTCCAGCAGCTCTTCTGACCATCGCCCATTGCCCACTGGTGCCCGCTGCCACGGCAGGGTTACCCCCTTCCCCAGAGGCTGCATCCTCCTCCTCAGCAACACCAAGACACCAAGACAGGGGTGTTGAGACAGATGTGAGACCCAGGGAAGCTGAAGGGGGTCCATATGTAGGACAGGGTCGGGCTCCAGATGACACGCTCTGCAGGGGCCACAGGAGGTTGTGTGGACACTGAGAATCCCTAACTGTCTTGACCAGCATGGGGCCTTCTCTGGGGTGGAATTCACAAGTCTGTGACTAAAACTGCAGTTGAATCCATATGACTCAGACCCCAGAGCTGGAATCCGGCCCATGCCCACCCTGGGATGGAGCAGGCAGCTTTTCAGGTTCCCTTGGGTTTCATTCACTCCTGTTTCACTTAACGACTCACCAGCCCCTCCTGGGCACTGGGCTCTAGTCCTAGCCTGAGAGTCACAACGACACTTGGAGGAGAAAAGTCTCCAGGACAAGCTGCTCTGCGGAGAGGCGGGCTGCGGTGCAGCGAAATCTCGTGACCCAGGCACCGAGGAGCCGGCTGGCGTGTGTGCCACCCAGCTGTGCGCGCCCTCGGAGGCGCGGAGAAGGCTCTGGAAGGGAGCGCCCCCCCAGCAGCCATCACCCCAGGACCGGGCGGGCTGCAGGACGTGCAGGCACGCCAGGAAGGACTTTCCCTGCTTGCCCCATTACTTCTGAACTGCTGGTTTTGCAAAGGCCTACAATGTTAGCTTACTAATATCTTACTTAGATGATTTTTAAACTTTTTTTTTTTAAAGCCTCAGAATAAAGAAAAAAAGCCAGTAGCGGTGCCTGCCGTGGGCACTGGGGATTCCAGGGTGGCCCCTGCGTGGCCTGGCAGCCGTGGCAGGAGGAATGGGCACTGGGCGGCGGTGGCAGCTGCATGTCCGCAGCACGAACCCACGCCCTCCAACGTCCACACCGAGAGCAACCGTAGACGAGGCATTTTAGAACAACGTTTAGAATAAGACAAGCTGGAGAATGAACTGTGATTCTAAATTAGTCGTGGGATGAAATGTGCCTCATGGAGACGGAGCCAGTCTGGAAATGGATGAGGCAGACGCCTCGGTGTTTGAAGCTGTGGAGCCAACAGAACCCAGCTACACCACAACTTACGGCTGTGTCACCCCTGGGCGGTGGTGTGGACAGTTCATGAACTAAATCATGAAACACAGAAAGTACTTACTAATTAATTAAGGCCATGTTTAATAATTACTGTCAAAACTGCACACGAAAGCCAAACTCCTGGCCCTTCTCCCCAGTATGGGGGGTCCCTACACTTCTGGAAGGCTCCATGTGGCCTCACCAAGTCCAAAACCCTCTCCAGGGCAGCTGAGGGGTTCCTCAGAGCTGTGTGACCTCAGCTCTCACTGCCTTCAAACGGCCTGCTGTGTTTGCTTTTTACAATTCAGTGGTTTTGTTAAATCCACAGATACGTGCAGCCGTTGCTGCAGTCAATTCTGGAACATTCTCATCCCCACAGAAGGAGCCCCCTCACTCTTTGCCAGCCCCTTCCCTCCCCCCGGGCAGTCCCAGTCCGCTTCCTGTGTCTGTGATTCCCTGTTCTGGACACTGCATGGAAATGGACTCGCAGAGCCGTGGCCTCTGTGCCTGGCTTTTTCTCACAGCACTGCGTCCTCCGGGTTCATGGCGTGGCTGCACAGCTCAGAGTGTCCCCCTTCTTGTGGCTGAGTCACGCTCCATCCATCCATTTGCCACAGATGAGTGTGTGTGTTTCTGCCTTTTGGCCAGAGGGCGAGATTCTGAGGAATAACACTGTCCCTGGCAGGTGTGGCCAGGGCTGCTTTGGAAGCAGAATCGGGGACTCGCTCTAGATGCCTTATTTTGCGGTTAAAGCGAAGCCAGCTTCTGACATGAGCCTCAGTGCAGCCATACAGGACCTCCTGCCACTGCTACCTCCCATGGGGCCGCCAGTCTTCCTCGGTCCTGGATTTTAGAGCTCAGGTCCAATTGAGGAGTCACACCGACCTGGGGCCCGTGGCTGTGCCTCCAGACCAGGGCACGTGATCGCGGGCATCCTCCTCCTCCCGGCGAGCTGGCACAGGCTCCATGGGGACCAAATTATAACCCACCAGCAATAGAGGTGGCTCCAGATGTCACCCTGACTGACTGAAGGAGTGAGGAGCCCAGGGCCCATGGGCTCTGCCGGTCTCTGGACACCTCGAGGCTCCCTACCTCTCCTAGGGACCTTTCCAAGCCACTCCTGCAGGTGGCCCCTCAACTGCCTCCAGGGATGATCTGAGATGAGGCCCAGCAAGGGAAGGGCTCCTCCTGCTGCCTCAAGTGGCCACAGCCCTGAGGCCGCTGAAGCAGAGGGCCGGCCTGGCCTGCATGTCAGCAAGACGCCAGCCTGTGCAAGCCTTCCACCTCCATTTCCTCATCTCAAGATGAGGGGCTGACGCTGACAGCTCAGCAGGTGGGCTCCTGGGGGGAAGGGCTCCCGGAAAGCCACTTGCCAGACCCCTCAAACCAAGCTGACTCCAAGCACTGATGCACGCTTGGCAAATGCAGGCGAGGCTTACGCCTAAGACAGAACTCAGCAAAGTTGTCTGCAACAAGAAACGGCGTCCACCTGCAGGTCAGCATCTGTGACCCCGCAGGTCCTGCAGGCCCCTGCTGGAGTGACCTCACGCTGCTGACCTCACAGCTGAGGACATGATGCTGAGAGAAGAAGCCAGGCGCGGTGGCCATGGCGCTGCGACTCCATCTCTGCGCAGTGTCCAGAATGGGAAATCAAGCCCCTGCCTGCAGCAGGCGCCGGAAGCCTGAGACTTTTTCTCTCATTGTTTCAAGCTCTTAAAAGTGGACTTTTCTACCCCGGTGTTCACAGCAGTGTCATTCACAGTAGCCATATGGAGGAAATTACCCAAGTGTCCCTCTGAGGATGGGTGGATGAACACAATGCATCCGTTCACACAGCGGAACCTTACTCAGCCTCAAAAAGGAAGGAAACTCGGACACACACGACAATACAGTTGAGCCTTGAGGTCACTGGTGTCTGAGCTATGTCAGACACAAAAGGACAAATACCGTGTGATTCTATTTCTATGCAGTCCCTAGAGTAGTCAGATTCATAGAGATGGAAAGTGCAGTGGTGGGTGCTGGGCTGGGGAGGGACAGGGTGATGGTGACTGGAGGGAGAGCTTCAGTTCTGCAGGATGAAGAGTTCTGCAGGGGGACAATGGTGACGGCCGCACAGCAGTATTAATGTGCCTCATGCCCCGATCCGTGCACCTAAAGATGGCTGAGGTGGTACATTTTATGTTACATATATTTGACCACAATTTAAAATTTGGGGCCAGTCACAGTGGCTCGTGCCTGTAATCCCAGCACTTTGGGAGGCCAAGGCGAGCAGATCACTTGAGGCCAGGAGTTTGAGACCAGCCTGGCCAACATGCTGAAACCCCATTTCTACTAAATATATAAAAATTAGCCAGGTGTGGTGGTGCATGCTTGTAATCCCAGCTACTCAGGAGGCTAAGCCAGGAGAATCGCTTGAACCTCGGAGGTAGAGGTTGCAGTGAGCTGAGATCATGCCACTGCACTCCAGCCTGGGCAACAGAGGGAGACTCCATCTCAAAAATAAAATAAATAAAATAAATTTTGAAATATTTTTAGATAAACAACTGATTTACATTTTCCTGGAATAGACCAACTCCTCTGTGACTTTGAGAAAACCACTCCCGACTTCGGGCCCTGGCTCCTCCTCTGTGAATTGTGGGGGTGGCTTCAGGCCAAGCCTCCAGTTCTCCAGCGATGTCCATTGTGTGCTGATGCCCGCCCGCTTGTTCCGCAGTGCTCTGGACTGGGAGTTTTTCTCGGTGGGAGAAGATTCCTTCCTGGTGGTCGCTAACTCCTTTGATGGGCGCACCTTCTCGGTGAACAGTATTATTTACAGGTAATGAGCTGCAAGCCGGCCTCCTCCCAGCACCTGGCTTCCCCTGGGGGCTCGCCTCCTCTCACAGGGGCCCCCCAGCTCACAGCGAGTCCCAAGTCAGCTGCTGTTTCCCGAAACTGGCTGGGCCTTGTGGACGTCCCAGGGCTGGCTGCACGGGTGTCAGGGCTGAGCCGGCCCCTGCGCCAGGTGTAGCCATGACCCACGCGTGCCGGCACTTCTGCCTCTGGAGCCTGGCAGGTATGTAATGTGGACATCCTAGCCTCGGAGTTGTGGATATTTAACTTTTCTCTCATGGACGCTGTGGTATTCTCAACACATTTATTTCTAGGAGTTTTCCAAGTATTCTAAATTTAACGAATAGGGTTGGCTTTTTTTTTTTTTAATTTTCATTTGCAGTTGCTCAGCATGACAATCATTTTTTGCATCTAGCCATCTCACCAAACTATGAGTTCTAATCGCTTTTCTTAAAAAGATTCTCCGGAGAGTTAGAAATACAATTACATCTGAGAATAAAGAACATTTCCCCTTGATGTCTAGGGTTCTGACTGAGTATTTAGTTTGCTTCCCTAGCTAAAGATTCCAGAACAATCTTGGCTGGTGGCAGAAGTGGCAGCCGTCACACCCTGCGCTAGTTTAACGAGCGCACTTGAGCATGGCCGCTGGCTGGGCTGCAGGCCGTCCCGGCCTGGGCTGGGGTCTCCTCTGGCATCTGCGAGGATGTGGTGCCGTTCCACTACGCTCCTGCCCACGTCACGATTCAGAGTGAGACATTTCCTCCGGTTCTCAGACCCGAGGCCGCTTGGTGATGATGCACAATTATTTAATAAGCCGCTGACTTCCAATTGCTTATCTCTAAGCTTTTGGTGTCTGTAGCAGTGGTTTTCTTTTGAGGACTTAACTTCATCCCGTTTAAGATGAAGCCTTACGATAAATACATACTGCAGGCCTTTCTAACCACACCGTGGGCTGGGATAGTATGAATAGTAGGATTTTTCTCTCATTTCTGACAGCTCAGTTCAACTCAGTTATAAAGCCATCTGGGCCTGGTACCTTTTTAATAGTACCTCTTTTTTTTTTTTTCTTTGACAGGGTCTTGCTCTGTAGCCCAGGCTGGAGGGCAGTGGGTGCTGTCAGCTCACCACAGTCTGAAACGCCCGGGCACAAGCGATCCCCCCACCTCAGCCTCCCGAGTAGCTGGGACCGCAAGCATGCGCCGCCACACCTGGCTAATTTTTGTGTTTTTAGTAGAGATTGGGTTTCTCCACGTTGGCCAGGCTGGTCTCAACTCCTGACCTCAAGTGATCTGCCCTCTTTGGCCTCCCAAAGTGCTGGGATAACAGGCACGAGCCATCATACCCGGCCACAAATGCTGTATTTGAAGGCAAGGAGAAAAGGATGCGTTACTTGATAATCCCATATGATTCGGGAGATTAGCTGTAGAAGAAAACAAAGCTGTTCCCCTACTTCACGTTGTACACAAAAATGCATTTCATATGGATTAGAAGTTCAAATGTGAAAGAAGAGAAGCCAAGTGCGGCTGTATAACCTCAGGGTTCCATGAAGAAGCCAAGCCAGGAAGGAAAGGCCTCGGCTCTGGCCGCCTGTAAACAGCTTTACATGGAGACAGACGTCCCATTCAGAATCAAAAGAGAAACTTCCCCACACGCGTGACTGAAAAGGAACCCTTACAAACTAGTAAAAGATGAGAAAAACAGGCAAAAGATATGAATAGGAATTTTTAGAAGAAAAGTATGAATAAACATTATAAGTGATTTGTTCTCACAGCAAAACCCTGACAGGTTTCCCCAAATTTATTTGGAAGCATTTTAAAGATGGACAGTGGAGAGGGTGGGGGGGGATCCCAGCCTGCCCTTTTCCATGAGAACAGGAATCACCATGGCTTCTCCAGAAAGCAATCTGGAAGAATTTAATACTTTAATTCAATTTAAACAACTGGTGCCCTTTGATGTTGGTGCCCTGCCTCAGGGACTCCACGCCTCGGAAATGGAAGCCACTGGGATAAGTGAGTCCCTTTGAAGGCAAACCTCAGTGGCCAGCAGCTGCCTGGAGAGAGAATGAGGGCTGGGCAGCCCCTGAGTGGGGCCGCAGAGCAGCAGGCAGAGCGGGGCTCCTGTGTCTGAGGACAGAGGGGCTCCTGCCTGCATGGTGGCCTGTGTGTGTTAGAGGGGCCCTGAGGAAGGTCACCTTGCACCTCATGGTCAAGGCCGGCCCTGGCAACTCCAGGTTTGGGAGCCCCTGGGGTAGGACCTTGGGTGGAGGGGAGCTAGCGCTGGGACCCTTGAGATCTGGGACCTTTCCTCTTCTGGGCCTCAGCCTCCTGCTTTGCAGGATGAGAAGGCCCTTGCGGCCCACAACTGCTGTCTCCATGCCGTGCCAGTTGTGGGGAACAGGAGAGGTCTGGATGGGACCCGGAGCTGCTGGGTTCCTGGCGGCGCAGGTGGGAGCGGGGGAGAGGAGCCGCCCCGCAGAGCCCAGGCTGACCCGGCTGCCGTCTGTCCCGCAGGTGGCAGGGCTACGAGGGCTTCGTGGCGGTGCACAGCCTCCCCACTGTGGGCTGCAGGGACTGGGAGGCCTTCAGTACCACGGCCGGCACCTACCTCATCTACTCCAGCGCCAAGGAGCCCCTCTCCAGGGTCCTGCGGCTGAGGACACGCTGATGCCGCTGCCATCGGGAGCAGCTGGAGTGGCCGGATGGGGCGAGACCCCAGGACCTCCCGCTAAATGGCCCTGGACATCTGGTGGGCAGAACCTCGGGTAGCCGGGGCCTGGGCTGTGGGCAGGGTGCAGGTGGGGCCGTCTGCAGCCTTGGTTCGGGCAGGAACATGCATCCACTTCTGGGTTGTTCTGAGCCACAGCCCCAGGGACGGCCTGGCCACAGCCCACAGCTCTGGGTCCTGCAGGCGGAGGTCCAGAGTCCCCACCGGCTCTCGCCCATCTGAGTGTCAGGCAGGGATTTCGCCACCAATGAAACGTTCTATAAAGATTTACCTCAAACAACAGGCCCTCAGGCTTGTGACCTCGAGCTGGCCTCGCACCGGCCCCTCCCGCTGTGTGCACCCGGCCGCCCGAGCAGACGTGGGCCGCCCTCGACGCTGCCCGCGATGCCTCCACCTATTTATTGTGTTTTATCTGAACAGAACTGTATTTATATAGCTCTTTACAAACCACTCTCAGCAGCAGGGGGGTACAGCCCTTTGCCACAGACACAGACAGAGGGCCACCTCCCCTGTACAGGGAGCAGCCTCCACCCAGCCTCAGTTTACCCATAAATGCACTGGGGCCAGGTCAGAAATAACAAGCCTGGGTGTGGCCTGGGTGGCACCCCCTCCCCAAGGCCCCACCCACAAGGACCTGAGTTCCCTGTGGAATTGCTTCTGGGCCCAGGATTTTTTTTTTTTTTTTTAAAGACAGGGTTTCACCATGTTGGTCAGGCTGGTCTTGAACTCCCGACCTCAGGGATGACCTCAGGTGATCTAGCCGCCTTGGCCTCCTAAGTGCTTGGATTACAGGCGTGAGCCACCATGCCCGGCCCTAACGCCCAGGATTTCTTTTCCTCTTCAGCAGCATTTTAATGATGTGCCCTCCAGCTGACGGGACGTGGACTGTGTGCCTCCGTCTGCCTGTGTTCAGGCTGTCCTAGCCCCTGATGGCAGCGTTCTCCACCGGCTCTTCTGTGGTCATCTTGTCTCTGCAGCCGGGAGAGCTGCATGTCCACCCGTCACAGGCAGCAGGGACAGGAGGTGGTAAGGGGCGCGAGGACGGGGGGCTCCTCCCTCTTAATGCATGTGGGTGCCAGAGAAAGCCTTCCCCTAGACGAGAGGAGGCTCAGACACCAGGCTCCGGGGCCACGCAGTGCAGACAGGCCCGCCGGGGTCTTCCCGGAACCGCGCTCCTGCTTCTGCGACACAAATCGGAACAGCAACGATCCCGAGAGAGTTTACAATTCGCTTTTTCCGCCAATTGGAACTGCGGACAAAACTTCCTGCTTTCCGCACGGCAGCCATCCATTTGCATTCAGTTCATGATGAAATGGGAGCCTCCCCTCGTCTGGCAAATAATGTGCTGTGTCCGCTTCAGCCAGCTTTGGAGCCTTTGTGTTTTTCCGGGCTCAGGTCTTACTCCAGCCCTGTGGCCACGGGAGAGCCAGTCCCCTCCGAGGGTAGTCGCTGAGAGCCTCCTTCCCCTCTGTCAGTCCCCGAGGCTTTCCCAAGCCTCCTGGGCATGGTGGGGCAGGCCCTGCTTTCCTTACCCGTCACTCCGAGGGTCCCACTCACACAGAATTGGCCTCATTGGGTCAGCACTTGTGAAAGGAAGATAAAAACTCCAGACCCAGTTCACTCTACCAGGAAGAAAAAGTTAAGCTGCAAGCTGAGTCATGCAAGAAGCTGCCTTTCCCTTTGCCCCGAAGCAGACGGCCACGGCATCTCCACCAGCGGCCGCGCCGTGTGCACCTTGCCTCATGGAAAGCGCTGGTTTACTGAGCATGAGGTGAACACTTCACTGACTGCCCCCACCGGCTCCTTTTCCCCTGCATCTGGGGAGTCAGTCATGTGACCACACCCTCCCTTCGCCCCTCCAGCTGGCCTTTCCCCCTCACTGAAGCCCTCAACTTCATCTTAGAGAAAGGCACAGACCTGTCCACTGAGTGCGTCCTCAGCTGTGGCAAAATAAACTTCTCCACCGACTGAGGCCTGTCTCGGGTACTTTCCTGGTTTGCAGACTCCGCTACGGGCTTTTCCAGCTGGGCCTTGTTCTCTCATTTGTCTGCACCGGCAGGGTGATTTGCTTCAGTTCACGTGAGGCTGACGGTGGCACAAGCGTTCCAACTTCCATCTCAGCCAGACCCCTTCATTCCCCAAACTGTTCTAGATTTGGCCTTATTTTGGAAATCAGAGGCTGGCTTGAGTAGCTGAAAAATCTAAGACCTTTGAAGTAAAGTTACCAAACACTCAGTATGTGGGTCACAAACTGAAAGTGTCTGACCAGTCTCAGTCGACTTACAGGGTTATGATGCCAAGGCTGAGCCTCTGCCTGGGTAGAAGCAGCGCCAGTCACAGCAGGACCTGTGGCCCGGCCTTTTCCAGAGAGCATTTTGGGGTGCTGGGTATTTACAAGAGGAAGAGAGGAGAGGGCAGGAGGGGGAGGGGAAAAGAGAAAAAGGGTGGGTAGGCAGTGAGGTGAGTGTTCAGGTTCCTGCGAGGCTTTGATGAGCTCTCGCTGAGTGCGCAAGAGGGCAATGGTGGGGAGAGAGTCGGGTTCCCAGGAAGCATCTAAATGGCCACGCAAAAGTTGACCCTCTTCCTTCCCGCCGCTTGGGTGACCGGCCCCGATGGGACTTTCAGCATCACAGTGGAAGAGGGGCCAGCGGAAGAGCAGGGCCATTTCCTGCGCTGGTCAGGATGTGCCTCCTCTGGACCGCATCTTCCTGGGGCTGGCACACGGGGACTTTTCCAGCAGGGCTGGCCTGAGGGTGCTGGAGCTTTATTTTTGTGCTGGTGTAGGCAGTTTTCAGGCTCAGATTAAAGTCCCTTTAGCTGTGTATTTACCCTCCCAACAGCATTTTGTGAGCCCCTCTCCTGTCTGTCAGGGCTTGAACCAGTAAGCTTGGTAGCTCCAATTCCGAGACACAAAACCTGGCTCCAGCCAAGCTTCTTGGAGCTTCTCTGTGGCAGTTTTCACCGCCCTTTATCTTCCCCACTTCTCCATTGTTGCTTTGCCGATGCGGGCGTCTGCCACCAAGGACCAAGGGAGACCCGGAAAAGGGGATGCACAGCGCTTGGGCTGAAGATTTTGGGAAGGATGTGGAAGCCGTGGGCTAACCAGAGGTTTCCGCGTCCTCTGCCAATCTCCCCTCTCTCCCCATCCCTGTGGTGCACTTCATTGGACACTGAAGCCAGGCTCCTGATCTAAGGGCCACAGTTCACCTAAAATTCCATCCTGGGCCGGGTGCTGTGGCTCACACCTGTAATCCCAGCACTTTGGGAGGCCGAAGCACAGGATCACCTGAGATCAGGAGTTCAAGACCAGCCTGGCCAACATGATGAAACCCCATCTCTACTAAAAATACAAAAATTAGCCAGGCGCATGCTTGTAATCCCAGCTACTTGGGAGGTTGAGGCAGGAGAGTTGCTTGAACCTGGGAGGTGGAGGCTGCAGTGAGTCGAGATCACACCATTGCACTCCAGCCTGGGCGACAGAGTGAGACCCTGTCTCGAAAAAAAAAAATCCATCCCAGCATCCTCAGCTGGAATAACTGTCAGATGCCACTGGCTGCCCCAACAGAATTAACGGAAGCTGCCACAGCCCTCCTGACCTCATTGGACAGAACCGTGTTGCCAGCAGACACGAGCTCCTCCATCCTCTGAGCTGGCCCCGCTCCTGTCTTAGAGTGGGAAGTCCTCTCCTGCAGAGTCTGAGCTTCAGTCAGGGAGGGGCGGGGGCCCGTCTGTATTCCCATTGGTTTCGCCCTAAAAGGAAGAGGCTGAAGTGCCAAGTCTAACCTAGAGAGCCAACTCGAGCCAGGGTGAAGACAGCGGCCTGGAAGACCCACACCCAAGTGCGCCTGGCCGCGAGCTTGCTTCGTCCACGAGCTTCCTGGCCGCGAGCTTGCTTTGGCCTTCTTTGGCCGTCATTACAGGCAGGTTTTCAAAGGCAAAAAGGGGACATGGAGCAGGCCTGATGCAAAGCTCTTGTCAGGAATCCTCCCTGGCTCACAGAATAACACTGCTGACTGTGGTGTGGGTCACAGAACCCGATGGGTGAGATTTGTTGGTTAGGGCTCCTCGTGGCCATCACACACAGCTCCTGAAGATGAGCACATACCTCAGGGGGTAGGATGGGACACTGGCCCCTCTCCACGTCTCTCTGGACCTGATCATATAATGAAAGGACTTGCATTCCTCACAGAAGAGTTCTTTTCTCATCAGGATCCCCATTTTCTGCTTTCTCTGAGTGTCAGAATGGGGTCCCCTGGAGAGCTGGAGCTGCTTGGGGGGGGCAGGAGAATCAAAGGAGGGGAAACTGAAGGGCTTGGACAGGGGCAGCAGCCCCCACCTACAACCAGCTTCACGGAGCAGGTCACTGTGGCTGAGAACTGGGAGGAGCCGGGTGCAGTCCCGCACATGTATTCCCCAGACAGACCTGGGGGTTCCTGTGCCCAGAGACTGGGGGGCATAACTGCAGGCAGACGGAAAAGCCATGGAAAACATGATCCCTGCACGAGCTTGGGGCTCACCCCTGGGAGGTGGGGAGTGGTGAGGTGCCTGGAAAATGGGTGTGGAAAGAATGAAATGAGCAGAGGATTCCAGGTGTGGCCCTGGTAGAATCAGAGGATGGTCTGGGAGGATGGAGATGTAGATCCAAATCGCAGCGGGTTCGGGAAGTGAGACCTCAAGACTAGAACAATGACGTGTCCCTGAGAATTTGTTTCTGGCTCCTGGCTTGAGGGTAGGGTTATGATTGATGGTTGGAGGTACACACATGCAGGCAGGCGTGTGCACCTTCTGTCTGGGACTTTGGGCAGATGTTCTCTGGGCTGAAGAATGTCCGCTAGGTGAAAATATCAGGGAAGGTGATCATCATTCTTTTTGTGTTTGGTTCGAGAGGCTGGATTTTCAGACTCGGGTGCAGGTGCACCGCCTGGAGGGACTGGTGCTGGGTGCACTTGACTCAGCCCTGCCAAGCTGTGTGCTCTGAGACAAGCCAATTGAACTTCCAGCTGTGCTATGGGAAGAATCACGCCCGTCTTGCAGGACTCCGTGGGGGACTAAGACGTAGAATCACCTGGAAAGGAAGTGTGATCTGTACCCCACCTTGCAACAGTGACTGATGTGGTTAAATCCCAGGACGGCGGGTGCGCACCCTCGCCTAGAGCGGTGGCGTGCATAGGGTTGTCCTCCACAGTGAGGAGGGGACACAACCAGACCCACTCCCGACCACATTACGCACAGATAGCAACACTGAGGGTCTCGGTTACAAAGGAGTGGAACGTGTCGGGGTGGGGGCCTTTCACAACCTGAAAGCAAAAGTAAAGCAAGTCATTTATGTTCAGGAACACAAAGCCGCCACCACCAGCAGCGGAAGGAATGCAGACTACATCTTGCTTGTTTAAAGCAGCAAGGGAACAAAGAGACATAGGCAGTGAGGTGCTTCTGTGTCCCCAGCATGACCTCTGGTTAAAAAGTGCTCACAAACCTCAAAGACAGTCAGTCAGCACCCTCACTTCAGCACCTAATGTGATGTGTTTCTGTAAGAAAAGCAATCCTGGAAGGGGAACCACACTCACTGGGTCCTGCGGGGGGAGGCTGGGCCAGGGGGCCAGACAGCATGAAGGGAAAGAGCTGATGCGTGCTGGGCTTCATACCCAGGTGATGGGCTGGTGGGTGCAGCAAACCACCATGGCACATGTTCACCTACGTAACAAACCTGCATATCCTGCATGTGTACCCTGGAACTTAAAACAATAT